TGCCATTTTTCTACAAATGCTGTTTGAAACACACACACACTCACACACAAAAACACACATTTCAAACTAGTCTTACAATTTACATGCAAACATCTCAAAACCAGCATTAAAACAACACATTTTAAAACACTGTTGCAGCAACATGTCAATCAGTTCATCTATGTGGAGTTGACTGTAAGCTGCAACTCACTCATACATTGACACTAAATATGACACAGACATACAGAATAATACGTTGAAGATTCAAGCCAGTTGAGGTCTAAATCCACCTCCAGGGGGCACTACAATATTGAATCATATATAAATTATTTTAACTTAAACATATCTCTCATTCTGATTAATTCAACGAAAGATATCAAATGGTGTTTTGCTAAGTTGTACAGGCAACATAAGATTCTAATTTATTTGTATTTTGAACAAACTAATGCAATGACAAGAATACATTGTTTGATTGACACCAAACTTGGTATACATGCTCAGTGCCAGTTGTTCAAATAATGTGCAAAGATTGGTGGACATATGTTAACAGGGGGCCCTAAAACAATGATTCCACATGTTGAATTTTTAGGCTGAATTGGCAAGCCATTTTTTACAGTGTATTTACCAATCTCCTCCATCTCCTATATATTGTCCAAAAATACAACAGATATCGATTCAAGTCTGTCATATTATGGCACATACCATAGATATACCATACCATAGGCACTACTGTAATAATTTATTGGGATCTTGTGTTGGACATTTTTGTAAAGAAGCGCTGGATCCCTGAATTGGTGTTTGCTGCTGTATTAATAATTGAGATGTGTCTACAACTGAATGGGACATAGTTTGGAACGGCACACATGAGGATTGTAGGAAATACACTGGACAGGTCGCCAGTCCATCGTAGGGCAGACACACAGACATACACACACACACACACACACCTAGGGGCAATTCAGCATGTCCAATTAGCCTGACTGCATGTCGTTGGACTGTAGGAGAAAACCAGAGCACCAGGAGGAAACCCACGCAGACACGTGAACATGCAAACTCCACATAGAAAGGACTCAGGTCGCCTGACCGGGAACCCAGGCCCTTCTTGCTGCGTGGTGACAGTGCTACCATATATTACTTCGAATTTCATTGAATTTGAAGTGTTGTGTGAAGCATTTCACCAGACAACAGTAACATAATTTCACTCATCATTCTATCCCCAGCTAATGTTGTGGCCTGTGTTTAACTGATTCACATCTATGACCTATGTCTAAAAACCAGTTGAAATTAACATGTTTTTTTATTCTTTGTTTATCTTCTGTTAATATAGTGACAATATAGAGACATATTATCTGACAGTGAACCAGACATTTTGCTGTATACTTCAATGTACCGTTGTATTCTAGGGCAAGAGGTGAAAAACTGAAAGCAACATTGTAATCAATCTATATGTTTACTATTATTATGGTTATTTATTTTTATTTTAAGGAAATGTAAAAAATTGCTTATTAGAGACTTTATTTTGTACTTTAATCATAATTCAATTTCATATTAATTTTGTGAGTGTTTAACCCTTTAATATACAGTACTGTGCAAAAGAGAAAAAAAGAAAATCTTTCCTTTCCAGTATACATTTTTAAGGGACAGTCAGGAAACCTTTTTTTTTTCTTATGATCAGGCAGCGCTATATAAGATAATGTATTATACTGGAGGGAAGCTCAAGCTTTCGTCTTTCACAGATATTATTCCCAGTGCTGTCAGAACTCAGTGTTTTATGTATTCTACGTATTGCACAGCAGTCTGTGATAAAATAGTAGATGGGATTTGTGAACTAACATTATCACTTATTATTAATAATGGTCAGATTCTGATTGACTAACAGGAGTCATCATCATAGCTAATTATCACATTCAGAGGAACCACTGACAACAACAGCCTTTCGGTGTCTTTTCTATGTCATTTGGAGTAACGAGGGGATGAACCACAAGGAAGCTGAAGAGGACACTATGTTTGTGTGGAAATGTCTTCTCAACAGTGTGCAAGGTAAGATCCACCTTGTTGTCATTATGAAGCTGATAATATGTATTTTGTCTTGTTTTAAATACAACTGTAAAGGCAGCAGGGTAGCGATGTTTTGCTATGTTTCCAATTTAAAAACAAGCAGTATTTATTGTATTATGGAACAGTTTTTAAATACAATGCACAAAATGTTCACAACATCAAAACTGAACCCCTGTACTTAAAGTAGTTTCCTGGACTTGTAAGTGCTCCTTATGGGAATGGATGCAGTACCACCTTAGTTTTCCATGGCAACTTCTATTACAGTTTTATTACCAGGTAATGAGGGGCAATCATTTCCCTTATGCCTCAAATTGCTCAGTGACACTGTTTCTTCCTTGTCGTGTACAGAATGAAAACAAGCTACTTGATCTGATGACTGATACTCTACTTAGGGTTGATAGGATCTGGAACAGGCTGTATCTCTAGCCGGCTGCAGCAAGCTCGAAAAAAAGAGTCCAAAAGATTTCCACAGCTAGTTTCATGTTAGGAAGAATTTCATGTTTTACAATTTTTATTCTCAGTACTGTTTGGCAATTTAGTTTTTTTATGCATTGCAATGCAGTTTAAAAAACAACTTGCTGACATGAATCAACATCTGAGACTTTTAAAAAGGCTTTATTTATTTATTTATTTATTTATTTATTTATTTTCTAAGTACATGAACAAAAATGGGAAATTATCATTTCACATCCTAACAAGGATTTCATCTATTGATGCTGTATATACTGCACATTCTTTATTTTTAGCTAAAATTTCAGAGAGCATTATGCTGAAAGTGTAGTGGTGATCTCTCCACAGCAAGTTACAGATTTGTCATTCAAGTCAAGTAATTCTTGTGAGGACATCCTGAAGCATCTGTTGCTCTTGGTTAAGGTTGATGTGTGGTTGCCTCACCACTACTGCCCAGTCAAAGATCTCATCTTGGGCTTGTAACTGCTCTAGCTGCACATCATTTTGTACCAACAGTGTTCCCAAGTTGTCCTTACTGTATAAGGTCTCACCAAAGACAGTGTTGATTGCAGTGCTGTCTACTGGCTAGTTGACAAACTATGCCCTCCAGCCACATTTGGTTAGGGGTACAACTATTTTCTCTCTGCATGTGGTTGTTCCATGTATTTCTGAAAGCGCTCAGTCTATCTTTATTTTCTGGCAGGTACACTGTTTGGTGTTATTATTGATGGCAGTTCATACCAATTGGTTAACGTAACAAAGTGGGCCAGAACTCATTGGGCAGTGCTGTCTGTACTGGTAGTCAGGTATGTGATGACCCGTGAATATCTGTCTATATTGCCATGCGTCACATACCCCAGCTGTGAAGACAGACAGAAGTATTTTCAGACATGTTTATTGGTACATCATCACAAGAATATGCTAAATTAATTGCACAAAACTGTATATAATTTTACCTTATGAACCAGAGACTGTTTGAAAATGGCACATGATAAGTGTGCCGTGCAATAATATTGCTCCGTCTTTGCACAGCTGCTGCTGGGTCAGTTCTGTTCAGTGTGTAACACACTTGATGTTGAGGTACACAGCAGTAAGACAGACATTTCATTTCAATACCATTAATATGGAGTTTTGCTGCTATAACAGCATCCACTCTGCTGGGAAGGCTTTCCACAAGATTTTGGAGTGTGTCTGTGGGAATATGTGCCCATTCAGTATATTTGTGAGGTCATGCACTGATGTTGGATGAGAAGGCCAGTTCATCCCAAAGGTGCTCATAGCGGTTTAGGTCAGGGATCTGTGCTGGCCACTGAGGTTCTCCACACCAAACTCATGATATCTTACTTTTGGCAATTTAATGTATCTTTAGGATCATATTTTTGGCAATATAGTGTATCTTTAGGATTTTTTGCCAGCACCTTTTGGGAGTAAAAAACAGACATAAAAGTTTAAAGTAGAATGCACAGTTGTCACAAACTCCTGCCTCACTTCATTTGCTGCAATAGTTTTCCATTTCTAATAATAGGCTATTTAGTATGAGTCCATTTCACCTGAAGCTGTTTTAGCTGAGGCTTGTCATCCATTTTACCTGAAAAAAGTATTATATCCCTAATGTCTTGTTAGGATACATATTATGTTCAATATCTAACAAATAATTAGATTCATTTAACAAAAAGCAGTACTAGTATACTAGACTAGACTTACTACTAGTAGCAATACTAGTATACTAGTATTGGAATGTGGTGGAATATTGTTTCTGAGTATTGTTTTAACCTGGCAAGCCTATGTTGTCACATTCTTTATATAATAGAATTGTTCTAGCTAAGGTAAGCTTCACCTTTAGCTTGGCAAAGCATATATTGCTGTAGTAACCGCACTGGGCTTAATATGAGCTTCTTTTATGGAACTGAAATTTGCAAAAATAAGTCAGGCATATTGTGTTAGATAGCTTCCACCCATAAATGTGGAGTTAAACTAAATTTTTTTACAAAGCCTGCACTTCTGTCATTTAATGAACACATTATTTTGCTACACACACAATATGAGGTAAAGTCAGTAAGAAAACACTTAATACGTTATGTTAATCTTTAAACTTTATTAAGAATCTGATTGGTAATACAGTGTTAACTTGTTTAGCATTAAATGGTCTTTAAAGAGTAAATATATGATGTGAGTGTTTTGATGATTATTATGAATACATAGTGGTTTAAACAGCAAAAAATGTTTTGGTCATGAAATTCATTCAACAGGCATGCATTCAAAAACATCCAATATTTACAAAAAGAAAGTTTTCTGTGAATTCAAAATATTAAAATCCTCCTTAGTTTCCCTCATAACAAATTATTTTAACATTAATTCACAATGATTCAGATCATGCAAATTTCTCTATGTGTGAAGCCACATAAAGGAGGGTGTGTATATATATGTATGTATAACTGAAATTTGGTTTTGCCTGGTCAGAATTTGTATCATCAGTGGTGTGGAAACACAATTTTTCTAAGTGCCACAACATTTCAGATGTATTGATTTATTCCTAGGCTTTCAGTTGCATCCGACTGAGTGAATTCTCTCCATTCAGCAGGAATCTCCTGAGCATTGAAGGTTTTGTTATAATACATTTCAATGTTTTCCTGGAACTTACAGATAAACCACTGCCAGTAGGCCAGCTTGGACAAATCAGCTGAAATGCTCCACTTTGCATACTCTCCTCCAGCTGTCCTGTACTCTTTGTAAGGGACATATTTCTCACTACTATGGGATGGGCGAAAACGGTTGTTACTCACTACTTCTGTTGTACAAAAATTCACACACAGTTCTTCAGTACAACTGTGATGCCATCCAGTCAATCCAGATGAGCGATGGAAATCAGCATGATGATCTCCAGTGTGGTCTTCTTGGCTGTTAGTACAGATAGCTCCACAGAAGGGGCACTGCACCCAGCAGCACCTGCAGAAGTGTTTGATCATAATCTCATCAGGTCTTTCTCTGAACATCTCCATTTTTAAGTCTGAAAGCTTACTGAGGCTTCCTTTCAGCTCTTCAACAACATTGCAGAGCTCTTTTTTGATAAAATCTACAAGAACATCGTAATCAGTGACATCCTTAGAGACTTCATCACTCAGGTGAACTCTAGTATCTCCTAACTCGTCTACAAGACTGCTGGAAAAAACGTCCAACCACATATTTACATCTCCATTGATGAGTTTCACTTCATCTTTTGCCATTTCTGCCCCAATTATGACACTTTTCTGCTTGTGTTCGATGTGCTCTTTAATTGCATAAACTGCTTGAGGGTTTTCTGCAGCCATGTGTTCTTTAACCTTCTGTTTGATGAAATTTTGAAAGTGGGTTTTAGGCTGGAGTATGTATGTTAAGAAGTTCTTAAACTTCTCATCTTTATCCCCCTCCTGCTCTGCGAGTGACTTCAGAATGTGTTTTTCCAGATCACCTCTGTTTCCATTAAAGGGTGGCTTCCCTCTCATTTGTCCACAAATGAAGGTAGCGGTCATGTTGTACACACTCTGCAGGATTGTTTCTTTCAGTTTACTACAGATTCGGTCTCCAAGCACAGCTGCTGATGTTGCTCCTTTCCAGTAATTCTCAAAGACTTTAAAGTACTCAGGCTTTTTCTTTTTAAAGTAAATAAGTGGATCATTTGTTTCCTTGTATTTTCTGTGAAGTTCTGCAAAGCGAACCTCTGCCTGTTCACACACGTAAAGAGAGAGATCTACAAAGAACTCTTTCTTAAACTCCAAGAAATCACATTTTGATCTAAAGTCTGTGATTATTTGTTTGACATCACGTACAATGTTTTGGATGTAACCTGCATTGTATCCCTGCACTGAGACTGGAAATGAATTCACTTTCTCTGTTGTTTGTTGAATGATCTTAGAAATTAGCGCCAGTATTGACTTTTGATCTTCTGGTTTAAGAGACTTTTCCCAAGAAGGAATAGGTCCAAAAATCTTTTTTTTCACAGAAACATAATTTTGGTAATCAGCAACAGTACTAATCATTCTGTACTTGTTAGATTCTTTTCGATGAACAACAAGGCTTGATTCATAAAACTTTTCCAGAATGTTAATCACATCATTTGTAATGTCAGCATCTTTGACTTTGGGAGCATGTTCAGCCAATTCAGAGACCCACTTTTCCCACACTGAATCAAATTCTGACTTTGGATCTACATTTTCATTGCCATTTTCTTTAAGCTTCAGTGCCAGCTCTTTGCTCTTTTCAAAGAGTTTCTCCTCATAGTTCACCAGTTCCTTGTCTAGATTTTTTCGAATGCTTTTCTGTTGAATGTTGTCATCCAGTTTTCTTTTTGTCTCATTTACAAGGTCATCATGGAGGTTTTGTATTTGTGTCTGAAATCTGTTTTTCCACTGAATCAGTGTTTCCTTTTCACTGTCTTCTTCAAAATATGCTTTAAATGCTATCTGGACGTCCTTCAGGGTCACTGCCATTTCTTTCATAAGCTCTTGCCTTTCAACTGTTTCCACTTTGCCACTGGCTATTCTGTTAAGCATTTTGTTTTCAGTACTAATCATAGCACTCCTGAGACTCCAGGTCCATTTCTCATACTCCTCCTCCAGTTTCCTGTACACTGATATTTCTAGTGTGTTCCTGAAACTAAAAACAAAATTTTCATTCAGCAGTGCATTCCACAGGTCCTTTACTCGCTGTTGAAACTGTGATAATTTCATTGCATTTGTCTTTGATGCACGAGAGAGAATGCCTTGTTTTAGCTCTTGAACATTTTCACTGTAGCAGGGATTTGGTGGAGCCATTGGTGGGCTGCCCTCCCAGAGCTGTGCAAAGTACTTCACATCATTCTGTACATCAAATGCAATAACATCACTGAAAGATTCAGCATCATGTACTTCATCTTTTGCCGCTAACTTGGTCATTTCATCCAGTTTGTCCTGTAAACGTCTCCTTCCCTCCATAATTTTATCTCCAGCTGCAATATCAGTAACATTCTGATGCACAAACATACAGCTGGGATTCAGTTTGACCTGCTTCATCCTCATGAAGGCCTGAACAACTATCTGAAGGATGTCCTGCATGTCTGATGGATTTTCTCCAAATATGTTGATCAATGTCATATTCCCAAGACCTACTACAAATGTTGCCAGTTCATTATCATGATGTATGGTGTTTTTTCCAGCCAGCTCTAAAGCTCGAAGACCTTCAGTATCAACTACGAGAATGTAATCAAACTTTAGTTCTTTCTTTTTTTCTTCAGACACTTTGACCAGCTGCATGAAGGCTCCTCTGGTGCATCTTCCAGCACTGACTGCAAACTGCAGTCCAAACATGGCATTGAGCATAGTGGATTTCCCAGAACTCTGAATCCCCAAAACCGACAACACAAAAACTCTCTGATCTCCCAGTTTGTTGACGACCTCATCAAAAACAGCAGAAACCCAGACCAGAGGAACATGAGCTGCATCTCCATCCATCAGCTCCATTGGATGCCCTGATATCATGAGATGAGCAGCAAGTCTAGGCAGGTAAGAAAGATCTCCATCCTCCTTCTTTTGCATTCCCTGTTTCTCAGAGACTGAGGCTTCATAAATCTGACCCATCTCTCTCAGCATGTGCTCTAAACCAAAGGTGGCGGCATAAAGCTTGTTTGAAATCTGTTCAAGGTTTGATTGTTCAGCTTTCAGTTTATCTATTTTGTCCTGTTCCAAAGGTAAATTCTTTGAGAGCTCATTAGTCAGTTTGCCTGAGTTTTGTTCAAGGTTTGTTTGTTTAGCTTTTTGTTCCTCAAATTTGTCATGCTTTTTTTTCAAAGTCAACACTTCTGCCCATTTTTGGTCATACTCCTGATGGATAGTAGACAGTTTCTCTGAAGTGAAGTCATCCAGCAAAATTGCAGTCCACTTGAGGAAATACATTTTCTCACTGTCTGACAGTGATCTTAAACTTCCAACAAATAACCCCATCAGTTCACTGAATCCATATCTCTGCTGCTTCTTTCTTATTTCTCTCAGTTCTTCTTGCTTTTTGCTTTTCTCTGCTTCTATGTTGTGACTTTGCAGACGTTGTAAGTCTTTGTTTTTTTGGCACCATTCACGCCACAGTTTTCCCTGGCAGGGCAGATATTTGTCCTTCACTGTAGATGGATCTTCTGTCTGTAAGAATCTCCTTACCTGCCATGCAGCTTCCTTTCCTCTTTCACAGCCTTCATGTTTCTCATCTAACCTCACCTCTTCATTTTCTGCTACATTCTCAAGTTTGAAAGTCACAGGTTGTTGAAAGATGCAGTTCTTGATAACTTCTCTAAGTGCAACAGAAACTTCAGACTGATTTCTGCCCTTCAGTGCCAGCTTGTATTTTCTGTCTCCTATCTCACACACAGTATCTTCATTATCATCCTCTTCATCAGTAAGAATAACAATGAGAGGAGTTGAGGACTCAAACAGATTCTGTAGAATTACCATATTGTTGTCATTTTCATCAAGATTGGGTAAAAGTACTACATTTACTGAGGCCATTTCAGTAAGAATCTTTCTTTGAGTCACGTTTCTGCTGGAATCACCATGCAGATTACAGAACGCAACACAGTCAGTGAAATGATCAGTGCTTTTCCCAGATGGACAGTACCAGGCAATCTCCACCACTCCATCCATCAGTAGACGATCTCTGCTGCTGCCTCGACAGTTCCTGTGGAAGAATGTGCTGTGCTTCTCATTGATCAGCCTGTTCATCAGTTGAGATTTAGATGAGGAAATAGAACCAATCCTGAAGAATGCCACCATTGGAGTTTGAGCCTTCCATATGGGCAGGGTCTTGCTGATGACTTTCTTTTCTGGAACATCAGTGGTCTTCCAGCTCTTACTGATTTGTCGCATTGTCCACAGAGGAAATCGAATTTCTCCAGAAAAAGGATTGGGCACCAACAAAGGAACTGAATACTGACACTGAGAGAGCTTAGTTACCATGGTCTGTTGAAGAAAAGGATCTGCACAGAGAAACACTGCCATCTGAACATCCATAGGGTGAATAAGGACCTGTTTCTTTCCTTTACTCTCAGTGTGTTTTTTAAAAAGAGCACCAAAATCTTTTCCAAACTTCGGTATTAGTCGTTCAGCTTTGACAAAGATGTTTCTTGCTCTATAATCTGTAGTCAAAAGCCGTTTCATGAATATGTGAGCCAATTCCTTTTCTTCGCTGGGCTCCTCATTATGTAATGATGAAGGAGTTATTTCAAGAAAATGTGCTGCTGTAAGTTTGTGTTGATGATGAAGGCCAAGTCTGCTCAAGAGGTCAATCAATCTTGACTCTCTTTCCTGAAAAAAACAGTACAAAACAATGCACATGATTAAAACACAGTGTAATCCTGGATGCATGACTGACATTTTAGTGGTTTAATGACAAACACGAAAAAATTATTGACAAATACAGAGAACAACACAGTTGAGTAGACGGAAAATAGGAATCATAACCAAATTATAACACAGGGAGAAATGCTGATGCTAACACTAATGCTACAAAAGACAATACAAAAACAGAAGACAATGGGTAAGGCAACGAACAGCAAGAACACAGAAAATGAAAACAGAAAATTTGGCAGCAGAAAGGCACATAGAATGGTACAACCCACATGGAAAAAATATATAATATATAAATCGTGTGTGTATATATATATATATATATATATATATATATATATATATATATATATATGTATATATGTTTTAACACTGATGTGGTGGTGGTGTGTTAGTGTGTGTTGTGCTGGTGTGAGTGGATCAGACACAGTCTGCTGCTGGAGTTTATAAACACTGTGTCCACTCACTGTCCACTCTATTAGACACTCCTACCTTGTCAGTCCACCTTGTAGATGTAAAGTCAAAGAGGACAGCTCATCTGCTGCTGCACAGTTTGTGTTGGTCATCCTCTAGTCCTTCATCAGTGGTCATAGGACGCTGCCCACAGGACACTGTTGGCTGGATATTTGTGGTTGGTGGACTATTCTCAATCCAGCAGTGACACTGAGGTGTTTAAAAACTCTAGCAGCACTGCTGTGTCTGATCCACTCAGACCAGCACAACACACCACCACCGCATCAGTGTTACTGCAGTGCTGCCACTACCCAAATAGTACCAATAGTACCGCTTGAGGATGCCCCACATTTGCTAAATTGCGTTTAGGTCTGGATACATACTTGGCCAGTCCATCACCTTTACCTTCAGCAAGGCAGTTGTCATCTTGGAGGTGTGTTTGGGGTCGTTATCGAGTTGGAAAACTGCCATGCGGCGCAGTTTCCTAAGGGAGGGGATCATGCTCTGCTTCAGAAAGTCACGGTACATGTTGGAATTCATGTGTCCCTCAATGAACCGTAGCTCCCCAGTGCCGGCAGCACTCATGCAGCTCCAGACCATGATGCTACCACCACTGTAGGCAAGAGACAGCTGTCTTGGTACTCCTCACCAGGGCGCCGCCACACATGCTGGACACAATCTGAGCCAAACAAGTTTATCTTGATCTCAGACCACAGGACATGGTTCCAGTAATCCATGTTCTTGGACTGCTTGTCTTCAGCAAACTGTTTGCAGGCTTTCTTGTGCGCCAGCTTCAGAAAAGGCTCCCTTCTGGGACGACGGCCATGCAGACCGAGTTGATGCATTGTGCGGCGTATGGTCTGAGCACTGACAGGCTGACATTCCTTCTCTTCAACCTCTGGATACGACGCTGACCCTGGCGAGGCCTGTTCCGAGTGGAACCTGTCCTAAAAACCACTGTATGACCTTGGCCACCATGCTATAGCTCAGTTTCATGGTGTTAGCAATCTTCTTATAGCCTAGGCCATCTTTGTGGAGAGCAACAATTTTATTTCTCACATCCTCAGAGAGTTCTTTGCCATGAAGTGCCATGTTGAATATCCAGTGGCCAGTATGAGAGAATTGTACCCAAAACACCAAATTTAACAGCCCTGCTCCCTATTCACACCTGGAACCTTGTAACTCTAACAAGGCACATGACACCAGGGAGGGACAGTGACATAATTGGGCACAATTTGGACATGTTCACTGTGAGGTGTACTCACATGTGTTGCCAGCTATTTAGACATTAATGGCAGAGGACAGTAAATCTATACTGCTATACAAGCTGTACACTGACTACTTTAAGTTATATCCAAGTTTCATTTCTATAGTGTTGTCCCATGAAAAGATATAATAAAATATTTGCAGAAATGTGAGGGGTGTACACACTTTTATGAGATATTGTGTATATTAGGGGTTCGGGAAAAAAACGATTCTTAGATGCATCGTGACGCGGACGTGAATGATTCTGATTCGATTCACAAATGTCTAAAATCGATTTTCTGAATATTTAATTTATAACATAATGTTGACGGAACACAAAAGGCGGAACCTGGAAGTGGGAAAGTGCAGCGCCCAGACACTCCGTGACGTGCACACAACAAAAACAGCACTGGATGAGTGAGAAATCCGACCGGCTCCCTCTGCATTAAAGCCATGTTAGATCAGGAGTCACAACACAAATGTTAAGAAGAGCCATTTTGACCTTTCAACAAAAATCAAACCACCTTGACAGCCACAACATTTATGTCCAGTATGTCTCAGTATGTGATAATGTCCTAGTATAAGTTAGGTTATAAATATAAACGAGAGTGCAGATTTACTTTGCTCTGCTTTAAGCTTTAGCTATAGCCGCTTTCCCCCCATCTCCGCCAGAAAACTTTTCCTCTAAAGTAGATCAGTTTCTTGTAAAATGTCTCTCAACGTCCGGCTGTTTTACGAGGCTGAAGTCGCTTCTTCAAGTTGCTCCAGCTTCTTGTTCGAATTTTCCCGTTCCACCTTAAATTCTGACTCAGGCGCCGAATGTAAATGTGGCACCATTTAAGGTGGAACGGGAAAATTTGAAAGAGAAGCGACCTCATCTTTGCAACTTTTTAGTGTTTTAGTCTCTCGTTGCAGATTTAACTTGCCAGGAAACCAAGTGTGCTGCTTATAAATGCGAATAACGCATCGTTGCTACGTGACCTGCAGTCTGAGAATGCCAGTTCTCAGTCGTTGTGAAACAGGGCTTTCGCGCTATGTTGCACACGTCCCGTTTCGAAGATATTTTACTGACACAGCGATCCCCCTACTCTCTACAACGAGACCAAAAAAAGCTATAAGTTATAAAATCACTAAAGAACTAAGTTATAAAATCACTAAAGAAAACTAATAGGATGGCTGTAACACGTGCTGTGTGGACATCCATTGCCACAGGACCTTATTTCACCGTAACTGTGCATTTTATCGCAGATGAGTGGCAGCAGCATCTCATGTGCTCCAAGCAATAGCAGTGAATGAGAGCCTTCTAGTTCACTTGCCACATCATCTCCATTTGATTTATTAATAGAGATATTGGAAGGAAATTCATTACGGATCATTACGAATACTATATATATATATATATATATATATATATATATATATATATATATATATATATATATATATATATATACATACACACATCATAATATTTCCACTTCCCCCCTAAAAATCTACCTCAAAGTAGTTACAGATTTTCAACAGATACAAGTAAGAAGGGGGGGAGTGGTTCTGAGAGTTACAAGTTACCCTTTATTAATCCCACAACAGCAAAATTCACCTCCACATTTAACCTATCTGTGAAGTGAAACACTCACATACACACACACTAGTGAATCCACACACACTAGGGGACATTGAGCACATTTGACCAGCACCTATCCACAGCACCCGGGGAGCAGTTGGGGGTCATGACCTGTTAGCTCAGGGGATTAAGCTGGCGACCTTCCAGTCACAAGCCTTGTTCCCTAACCTGTTAATGCTATTTATCATTATTATGCTCTTTAGTACGACATTGTGTGGTGACAGATACTTTTCTTGTAACATGTATTTGTAGAAACACATGTTAGACACAGAGTTAGTATGTTGTAAAACAATAATACTAACAAAGTATGAGTAATACAAATTTATTATTAATTTTAAGATTTGTATTACTTATTCTGTTGTATAGCATTCTAGCTTCATGTCTGGTTAATTTGACAAAAGCAGTGGAAACAAAAAAAACATTAAAAAAAAAATTAAGTGCAATCTGAGATTTATTGTAATGTCGCTATCATTTAAATCCCTGGGGCCTGCTTATAAGAACACTGCTAACATGATGGATGTAGTTGAACAAAGACTTCAGGTTCCTCTTCTGAATAATTTTTTCATATCCATATAGTGACTGAAATACTTAAATGTACAACTTGTCCTTACTGCACTATTTCATAAGTACATGTATCAACTGTCCAAATGACTGCTTTTGTTTAAAACAACTAGAAAAGTTAATGACATTATTAGGCTAGTAATAGATCATTTTAGTGTCCATTATTATACATATATTGCGTAATATGTACAAAAAAGCTCAAGTCGCTCAGTGTTTACTCCTGTTATAAGCAAAAAGAGCAATATAAGAATGTACTGCAAAAAAGTACAGCCTATTTTGTAGCTAGCTTTTTTTGAAACTTGCAAGACATCTGGAACATAAACATCATAATGAATCGGAGGTAGCAAAGGCACCAAGCAATCCAAAAGCATCCAAAGAGAGGTGAATGCAATTAGAGTGTCTGCATAGCAAAGCAAACTTTGAGCATAACTCAGTTTTGTTGAAAACAGGCAAATGAAAACTAACTGATCACAAGAAACTCTCGTGGTCAGATTCTACTTTTTGTGTTTACTCTAAGAGATTCTTCATATTGAAAGCACAGTGTTGTGATGCTAGTCTGCAAACTCCAAACCTAAACCTGGAAAAACCTGAATCCAGGTTTTATGTTCTTTTGTGACATCTTCCCTATCAGATCAAAGACTTTATAAATCCTCGGAACACCTTACAAAAAATGTATGGCTCTATATGGCCTTAGTATAATTCAGCCACATCTCAGGGAACACTAGAGGAAGCCAATTAGAACTCTGCTCAGTTGCTTCTTTTCACCAATGTTAAGATGTTAAACGTCTTCTCTTGTATGTTGATGAGCAAGTCCAGCATTCCCATAAGATGCTGTTAACAGAGCACTGACCTCAGCACTGGTCACAAGTAACAATGTTCAGACTAGCTGTGTTTCCAGCCAAAGAATTTTTAATATTCAAAATGCCTGTCAGTGTAGGCTATGAAAGCAGACATTGTCATTAATGTTTTATGAATGTCAACAAAACTTGTTCCACTCAGCTTTAGCAGAAACCTGAAATGTTGTGAACACCTATATTAGAAAAAAAAATCAGAAAAAATAATGCAAATAAGTATACATTTAGTCCTGTGTAACTGATTTCTTTGCATGCATCTTAAAAGAAACCAAAACAGTTGACCAGCATACCAGCATCCAAAACACAAAATATATTTTTTTTTTCTAGCAGGAATGTAGACTAGATTATTTGCTATTATTTGGCCTGTTAAATCTGAAGGAATTTAAAGCATTCTATTACAGAGTAATCTAGTCGAATTGTGTAGCCAGAAACAGCTGTCACAACTGAAGAAGCTAAATCAAACATTTGTTCATATGCTACCTTAGTCTTGTTCCATGTAAATTGATTTTTACTGAATTTGACAGCCTTGAATATCTAAGATGTTTAGCTTACTGTTTACTAACTGACTGTTGCTGCATGTACTCAAAGGCACACTTTTGTACCTAGCTAGCTAACAGTGTCTGTAATTTCATATTGCTAATCAGACGTTGGTTAGTTATGTTAGTTATGTTAGGTAAGGGTGGAGTTTGCAGTAGTTTGTAAAGCACTTTTGACCGGTGGATGGCCCTGAATATGTGCATTCACTTAGAGTGAGCATTAGATGCCCTAATTCAGTGTGGGCACTGCTCACATTCCTTCAGAGTAGGCTTTGGGTGGTTTCATTCAGAGCAAGCACTGGTTGTACACTATATGGACAAAACTATTGGGGCACCTACACATTACACATACAGGAGCTTTTGTGACATCCCATTCTAAATCCAGTTGGTCCCTCCTTTGCAGCTATAACAGCTTCTACTCTTTCTACAAGATTTTGGAGTGTGTCTGAAAAACAACCTCATAGCATTATCCCTCCTCCATCAAACTTTACAGTTGGCACAGTGCAGTCAGGAAGGTAATGTTCTCCTGGCATACGCCAAACCCAGACTCGTCTATCAGACTGTCAGATAGAGAAGCATGATTCATCACTCCACTGAATACATTTCCACTGCTCTAGAGCCCAGTGGTGGTGTGCTTTACATCACTCCACCTGATGCTCGGCATTGTGCATTTTGATCTTAGCCTTGTGTGTAGCTGCTCAGCCATAGAAAACCCATTCCTTGAAGCTCCTAACACACAGTTTTTTTGCTGATGTTGCTTCCAGA